GGGGGGGGGGGGGAATCTTATTTGATTACTTGTCAAATGTTAAAAGCTCCTGCTTATGCTGAACAGTGGCACCAAGGTGGCACCAAGATAATACCTACAGAAGATCTATCTTAATCTGTGCTGAGGTTTCAAAGTCCCCCATTTGATTGAAACACATCTGAAGACATTTTCATTATTCATATTTTGAGCCTGATGCTTCAAAAAACAAAAACAGACTAAAATAGCTCCCTTATAGTGCTGTTTTGCCACATAGATTTTAAATATCACATGCAGGTGTGAATTAAGAATTCCCACCAAGCCATTTCCCAACGTAAATAAGCTAGGAACTTTTAATTCAGCAGGATTACAGGTTTCTTTCCACTAGAAACTTCTGCCTGTTATAAAATTCTGATTATTTTCTGCAAAATTATTCTTCCTTAATTGCTGTATTTTGAGCATCTGGTAGGTGCCACATATACATGACTCTTGTTAGAAGGAAAATATGTTGAGAAACTGAAGCACAGTACTATTTTGTATGTAGTATACTCAGTACTTTCAAGCATTTTGAACATTAGGTAAAAGCATAAAGGTACAATGTAGTGATCTCATCTACTATGTCATATAAAATACTTTATTTTTCCAATTTAACATAAAGTCTACTAAATTTATAAAATAGTAATAACATTATTACCAAGATCTACCATTAGGACTGTAAAAATGTAAAATTCAGAGATAAAGGAGATCTCATAATGAATATTGTGCTTGATTCCAACCCATTATCAGTTAAACCAATACTTTTAAACACTGCTATTTTGCAAGTGTTTTAATATAATATTATAATTCTCAGGTCCTTGTGTGCAAAAATGATATATATTGTGAGTAACATTAAGGGAAATCCGAATTCTTTCGAATTTATACTTTGAATAATTGCAGATAAAGTTTGGATACCCCCGTCCTCTTCTTCCTCTTCTTTTTGTTTTTGTTATTGTTTTTTGAGACAGATTCTTTTCCCTACGTAGTCTAGTCTGGCTTCAAACTCATGATCCTCTTTCCTCTGCCTCAGGGTACTGGGATTACAGGAGTACTTGACCAGGCCTAATGCCTACCCTTGGAGACTGATGTTTCTACCATATTAATTAAGGCAACATTATTCATGATGTGCCTGTGTGTATATGTATGTTTGGGTCAAATCAAGTGAGCACATGTGCCATTTTGGAACTTTATATGCAAGATTTAGTCTGTCAGGGAACTTCTTGCATTCAAGTAGAATAAATAAAGTGTGAGTAACATTCAACAAAAAAAGCAGGGGTTTGAGAGATGGCTCAGCAGTTAATTGGACTGGCTGTTCTTGCAGAAGACCTGGGTTCAAATACCAGTACCTGCATGGCAGCTAAAAAATCATCTGTAACTCCAGTTCCAAGGGATCCAATGTCCTCTTCTGTCCTCCACAGAAACTGCATGACACAGGTGCAATTACACACATGCAGGCATAACACTCATACACATAAATTAAAATAAAATAAATACAAAAAAATTTAAAAAGCAGAGAGGAGGACAGATATTGTTTTTCAAAGTAGAAGGGGACACATGGCACTTTTTTTTTTTTTGTCATTTTGAGACAAGGTCTCCCTGTAGCCCCAGCTGTCCTAGAACTCACTATGTAGACCAGGGTGGCCTTGAACTCACAGAGATTCACCTGTCTCTGCCTCCCAAGTGCTGGGATTATAGGCGTGCACCACCACACCCGGCTACTTTTATCTAGAGATTTTTCAAGATTTGGCCTTAAACTAAATATATTAATACACTGCACATGTAAAATGGATTAATGTTTTGACAAAAATATTTATTTACATGACAGAAATATCAACTGCAAAAATTCCTTACAGTTGGTGGCAGTTTGTCAATTTAGAATGACAATAACCTCAGGTTAGCACCTTAATTTATTCTCACTGAATTAAACTATTAAAATAAGGAACATAAAATTGCATATACTTCTTGAAAAGGGAAAAGACTTAAAACACTAGAATTAACTGAGTACAGATTGCAACATAAACAAAAATATGTCATTCATCTGTAAGAAGAGAAAGACAAATGTGATAGCTAACCTTGGTTACTAACTTGGCACACTTGGGAAGAGGGAAATTCAGTTGAGGAATTTCCTTCATCATATTATAGTGGAAAGAAGTTTTTTGTTCTCAAAAGTTTAGAAAACTCTGAGATAAGAGAGCAGTATGGGGGAGGTGAGCAGGAGTCTTCCTCTATCCTGCCCCCTATGGTTTATGTGGAAGAGTCTTTGTAACCCCTGTGGCCATACTTTACCTTGCTTAATTATCACATGTACCTTTTACTTAATTGCCACCTATGTGCTGTTCTGTCTTTGACTTATACTTCCTCACATGAATATAAAAACCCCTAAAACTGGAGGGGGGCACTGGCTCCTTTATGCAAGGATCCCTGGGTCAGTCTACTAGCATAAAATTAAATCCCTCTCCCCACCTGACTTTGGCTGCTGGTCTCTGATTTTCCCATAACAATATTGGTCTATGGACATGTCTGTGGGGCATCCTCCTGATTACAATTTGACATGGGAGGCACAGAATGTAGCCTGGTAGCATCCAGTAAGCAGTTTCCTCCATAGTTTCTTACTTTGGGTCCTGTCTCAAGATTCTTGCTTGAGTTCCTACCCTGATTCCCCTCAATGATAGATTGTGACTTGAAAGTGTAAGCCAAATAAACCCTTTCCTCCACAAGTTACTTTTGAGCATGGTATTCAGAGCAAGAGAAAGCAAACTAAGGCAATTAGGTTGAAGAAACAATAGAGATTGTCTCATATGGCATTTACCATCAAAATGTGAAATTTTGTACTTTGTGAAGCAACTGAGGTCAAGTGACTTAATTTTTTATTTTTATTTATTTAGTTATTTATTTATTGCAAAAGAGATAGGTTTGCTATATTAAG